TGTGAAACATTTGCATTTTGCAGAAGACAAAGTGTGAAAGGTAAATCGGAAGTTTTAGGATTCTTCAAGTTTATTATGGGATATATGGACTGTTCATACCGATTCTACTATTGCCCAGCTAGCATTTTTTTCGGGTGCATTGCAGACTTTTTGGCTAACTTAGGGCGCATTGCAGAATTTTTGGGGGCAAACTTTGGGCAAATTGCAGATTCCGAGGAAAACTTAGGGCGCACTGTAGACTTTTCGGGGCAACTTGATGAACGGTTATTGGCTACAAATCAACCAATGGGAGTAACCCTGATGTACTTACTCAACCAATTCAGATTCAGATTTATTGGTTGAGGATAGAAGGCTTGCAGCCTATGTTAATCCTTTTCTAGTAGATTTCTGTGGTTGTCCAAACCCTTCTTGAACGAATCAGTTGAGGTTGCAGACACCACTTCTTCTGGGAGTCGGTTCCAAGAGTTTATGACTCGATGTGAGAACCAGTACTCAACAGCAATATGATTTCTCCTTGGCTTTTGAACTTTCCTGCTATGTCCTCTAAGGTGTTCCGACCTGGTGGGAAGGAAAAGAGAGAATAGGTCAGGTCCGTAGTCATTATTTAAAATTTTAAACATTGTGATTAAATCTCCTCTCTGCCTACGGTATGACAGTGAGAAGAGATTTAAACTATCTAGTCTTTCCTCGTATGATAAGTTAGCTATGCCGTGAACCATACGTGTTGCCTTCCTTTGAACACTTTCTAGAATGTGTGAATCCCCTTTTAGACACGGACTGGCGGCCTGGATGCAGTTTTCCAGTCTTGACCTAACCAGAGATGTGTATAAGGAGGTGAACATATCTCTGGTAATTCTTGTAAAGGCTCTGCGAATCGCCCATAAGGACCTGAAACTACGTGCAGCCACCGCGCGACAGTGTGCTGTAGTTTTTAAGTCGTGGCTAACTATGACACCTAAGTCCAAGTGAGTCTGAACTGATGGAAGTGTTATTCCCTCTAGTTCGTAGGAGCTCGTGCTTGCTTGTCCAATGCGCATGGTTGCACATTTTGCCACATTGATCGGGAGCATCCATTCAACAGACCACTCCGACAATTTGTTGAGGTCCTCTTGCAACGTGAGCGTATCACTGTTGCCCTTCAGCTCTCTCCAAATTTTTAAGTCATCTGCGTATAGGACCATAGGGGAGTCGGTGAGCAGAGGTAACTCATTGATATACAGAATAAAAAGGAGAGGACCGAGAACCGTGCCTTGTGGCACTCCGCTACTTACTGCTGTCCAGGAGGAGAGTTTTGAGTTGATCCTAACCCTCTGCCTCCTATCTATGAGGAATTCCCTGAGCCAGTCTAGTAGTCTGCCTTTGATACCAAGACTTTCCAATTTCATGAGTAGTCTTTTGTGAGGTACTTTATCAAAGGCTTTACTGAAGTCTATGAAGACGACGTCAACGGGTCTTCTGTTGTCCTTTGATTTGACCCAGCTTTCTCTTGCAGTCAGGAGATTTGACAGGCATGAGAGGTTCCTCCGGAAGCCATGCTGTGCTCCAGATAACAAGCTGCTATTTTCCAGATAAGCCATGATGCTTTTCTTGATAATTCTTTCCAGTGTCTTGATTAAAGTGCTGGTGAGACTGATAGGCCTGTAATTTGAAGGGCTTTGTCTTGATCCTCCTTTGTGTATGGGGGTTACTATGGCGTCTTTCCAATCACGTGGCAACACTCCATTTAGGAGAGATAGCTTGAAGATCGTGGTCAAGGGGCCGGCTATGTGGGCTGATAGCTCCTTGAGAAGCCTTGGATGAAGACTGTCAGGACCCATTGATTTTCCTGCATCTAGTTTCATTAAGAAGTTGAGCACGATGCCTTGGTCGATGTCAACGGAATCTATCCCATGTTCTTCTGATGCAGCCAGAGCTGATCCTATAGGCAGTGATGACTCCTGAGTGAAGACTTGGGAGAAGTAGTTTGCCATTGCTTCTGCTTTTTCTTGATCTTCTTCGATTGTATCTTTGTCAATAATCAGGTTTGGGACACCATTGGGTGTTTTATTCCTGAAATTCAAGTACGAGAAAATTTTCTTAGGTTGTGCCTTTGCATTTTGGGCCAGGTGTGTCTCGAACTTCATCCTTGATTGGCGGATTTCTGCGATAGCTTTATTTCTAGCAGTAGTATATAATTCCCTGGTCTCAGAAGTCTCAAGTGTTGCAAACAGGTTCCAACATTTGCGTTTACGTCTGAGTAACTTACGAATCTCCCGGTTTATCCAAGGGGGGAATGTTTCCGACCCTTTGGAACAGACCAAGGGATGAAGGGTACAGTTACTTGGGCGTAAAGTTGCTTAAATTGGTTCCATGCGGCTTCTACTTGGGACTCTGGATTGATGTACCAGTTTACTGAGTTGGCTGCTGAGACGATCGCATTTATGTCAGCTTTCCAAACGTTTGGTCGAGCTGGGGTTTTGGCCCTTGCTGCCGTTGCTGTGAACTTGAAAGTGAGCACAGCATGGTCACTTCTTCCTAACGGAGGAAGATGTTGTATGAGATCCACATCCTCACCGTGTGAGAACACTAGGTCCAGAGTTGACGAGGAGTGCTGTGAGTCATAGCGCGTGGGCTTAATGATATGTTGGACTAGGGCTAGCGATATACTAGATTCTAGCAGTTTATGATCAAAGGAGTTGACTGAAGATGGAGTTGTTAGGCTCGACCAGTCAACTGTTGGGGCGTTGAAGTCACCGACTACGAGACTTCGACATTTTGAAGTCCAGGAGCCTAGCTTCTCTATTAGGAAGTCGTCTGCACTGCAGTCAGGACTGCGGTACACAGCAATGAGGTCAATGTCTTGGCCTATGCATTTAAGTCTGCAGCGTAGAAGTTCGCACGACTCACTTTCGTGGGCGAGTGCTTCGATACTACGCACGGTTAAGCCTTTCTTGAGGTAGATGACTACGCCCCCTCCTTTGCGGTTTAGTCGGTCTACCCTGTGCACTTCGAAGTTTGGCAGGTTAACTTCGTTGTCAGTGACATCGGGTGTGAGCCATGTCTCTGTGATAATAATTACATCCGGGTTTCCGGTTTCTATCATGTTTGCCAGCTCAGTCCTTTTATTTAACAGGCTGCGGGCGTTTGTGTAGCAGACTGTTAATTCAGATTGGTGCTTCCCCGGCCCACCCACAGAGGTTTCGGGATCATTAAACTGCGAACTCGGACAACCCGAAAACCCTTAATCTTAAGGTTCTTCTCACCGTTCCGGCGTCGCTCACTTAATTCTAGTGCCGCAGCCTGTCTTTTGACACGGTCTGCTAGGCTTAAGTCAGCGCGGACATATATCCCTGATCCTTTGAGAATATGAGAGTTGCTTAGAATAGCATCCCTCTCTGCTTTAGAGTTTAGTACGACTTTGAGGAGACGTACAGGTTCACTTACTGTAGGGTCAGGCTTTTGACCTATTCTGTACACGCTGTGTATAGTAATGCCTGATACTGTTTGTGGCAGTAGCTTGTCTAAAAGGGGCTTGACCAAGTTAAGGTCATGCTCGAATCTGGCCTTAGGATCGAGGGCCAGTGACTCCTCCACTTAGTGGAGAATAAGAGACCTGTCAGAGAGATCGGGTTTGCTTTCCGTGACTTTCTTGCTCTGAGGCGTAAGTGTGTTTCTCTCCTTCTTGGGCGGTGTAGCCAAAGTGTTATCCTTATCTCGCTTTTTGCGAGAGACTACGGTGGGCCATTCATTGGCGTCCTCCTCGCTAATCATAGTGGGGTTCGTCTGTCTGCTGCTCACCGGTGTGGATGAGGCTTGTTCCGCCAGTCCCTGGGCGGCTGGAGCTGCAGGTTTTCGACCCCTAGTACGCCTCTTCTTCACGGCAGTCTTTCCATTACTGTCACTGGAGGGCTCATCCAGTATCGTGGGGGCGACCTGGGTGTCTGTAATATGGTGGGTGTTCTTCTGTGCTGTGGAGCACTCACTTATTGGCTAGGTCGCATCTGGGACATGTGCTGTTTTGTCAATGACGCTAGTCACGTCATCGCTATCTGAGCAATAGTCGGTATTCTTCGGTGGTGGAGGACGCTTGCAGTCCATGAGCTTTAAAGCCCCACTAAGAGTAGCTATGGCTTCTGTAATACGGAGTTTAGTTGCACTACAGCAGCCGTTGCACAACCAGTTCGCTAGAGGTTTGCAGCAGCGTTTGTATGCTGCTGGAGTAAGGTTCATGCACATACTGTGAAACCATCTCTTGCAGTTATCACACTGCATTCCCTCATCCACTGGAAACTGGCACATAGCCCTTCCGCAGCGGTTTCTTTTGATAGGCATTTTATTTAAAACAAACCAGGAAAAGTTAAATACAACTTCAAATACATATATAACCGTTGTAAATCAGTGATAAAAGCTAATGAGTGCACAAAGATAGATATATGTAGCTATTATGTTATAAGAACACAATTCCTATAATTAATAGACTCAGATCTGAAACGTAAATTAACTTCGATCAGAATAAACTGATTTAAAGTTAAATCTGTGGACTTTTGAAGCGTATAACACAACGAAATCCAATTATAAACAAGAGCATGAAAATTAACTCCCGTTTCAAAGTTCGCGCGGTTGCTATGACAGTTAACTTTTTAGAACTGCGTTACAATGAATCTGAATTACTGAATAATAATACATAATTTAAAATAATAAACTCTTTTAATATAAACAATCAATTAAATGTACTTTCACTATCTGAATACATCACCAAAGGCTCCTACCTGAGAAATGTTTTACTGCACTGAAACCGTTTGAAGCGGCGGAATCCACCATTTTTATTTCCTTTGTTGTTAGTTGGCCTGTTTGTCACCCTTCTTTTTTACGAAGTTTTCCAAGTAATTACTTGCGTAGTGATACGTTTTATATTGCGACTTTAACAGTACCGGCCATTTTTATTATTAGGCATAGCGTATAAGTTGTGTAGACTGCAGGAATCCGTTTTTTAACCGTTTTTCCGATTTCTTCCAGGTAACATGAGCTCTAACATTTCCCCGTCAAGTATCAATAATACGCTAAATGACAGCAGACCACCAGCTAATGTCGAACCATACCGCCGGAAGAATTCTAGACTACGTAAGTTTATTAATCAATCTTCTTTGACGATGCAGCGCTAGTCAATTTTGACTTAAGACGATATAAGTCAACATACTATCGGCGTCTAAAAAAGTACAATCTGGATTGGAAGAAGCGTGTAGAAGGTAAGCTTGTCCTTTCATATTAATGTACACAGAATCATATGCGAAGATTCTTGCAAGTGAACCACAACCTGAAACAATGGCAGGAAACATGGTTACTCCCCAACAAATTATCGTTCCAGTTGATGTTCCTTGTAATAGCATGGCACCTACACCGTCATTTGATGAGCATTTACCGAATGAACAACTGTCTGCAACAGAGGAAGTTGACCAAACCGAGTGCACTCCAGTGGATTCTGTTCGCAACGTCGTCTACAGATGCAAGCTGAATATGACTACTACTCGTATTTTGCTGGAAGAATTAAGGCCACATCTTCGTGAACTGCCGACTGACCCTCGGACATTGATGAGGACTAAAGACTTTTTTGAAAGGAGAGCAGTTGGTCCTGCAATATATGTTCACATTGGTCTTCGTCGTCAGATTTTATCTCGGTTACAAACTGTCAAATGTAAAGTCTGTGTGCCAATTGCTCTTCAGCTGAACATTGATGGTGACCCAATTTTCAACAACTCCAAATTACAGATGTGGCCAATACAAGAGAAGTTACTTTTGTCGGGCTGTGACAAGGTATTCTTGGTAGGAGTCTACTGTGGTTCGTGTAAACCTTTAAGTATACACAGTTTTTTGAGGGACACTATCATCGAATTAGAAAACATTTGTGCCAATGGTGTCACATTACCCAACAATCATCGCATAGACATTGTACTTAAGGCCGTCATCTGTGATACACCAGCAAGAGCACTAGTTAAGCAAATAGGTGGTCACAATTCAACACAAGGATGCGATAAATGTGAGGCTTTATGCCGTCGTGCTAATCATCGCATGGTTTTTCCTCCTACATGTGCTGCTTTAAGAACAGACATGTCTTTTCGCAACCAAACTTTGCCATGTCACCATAAGGGTAAATCTCCTTTCGAGAGATTGCATGTAGACATGATCACTGTTTTCCCTATAGATAGCATGCATCTCATATACTTAGGTGTAGTTCGAAAGTTGATTGGCCTGTGGAAATCCATGGCCACATCTAGGGCAGATGGCATGCATCCTACGATATTGAACACTGTTAACTGCAGACTACTCGGCTCACACAAGTTGACTCCTTTTGAATTCCAGCGTAAGTGTCGAACATTAGACGACGTTGACCATTGGAAAGCAACGGAGTGTAGGCTTTTTCTTTTATATTTAGGAGTGGTATACCTTAAGGACGTATTACCACCTTGCTTTTATGACAACTTCTTCGATTTATTCTTGTCATGTTACATCTTAAGTCACCCGGTTTATTCTTCCTATTACCTAGATGACGTGAAGGGTTTATTATTGAAATTCGTTGGGAACTTTAGGTCATTATTTGGGGAGGAAAACATGGTATACAATATCCATGGATTACTTCATATTTGTGAGGACGTGAAACAGCACGGACCACTGGACACTTTCTCATGTTTCCCATTTGAATCGAACATGCGTTTTCTCCAGACTCTAGTCAAAGGTCCCAATAACCCAGCAGTTCAGATAGGTAAACGCATAGGAGAAAGATGGTTAGTCGAAGCTGATTCAGCAAAATCAGAGATAACACCTAATGTATCTGTAAATGTGTCTAAGCAGACTGCTACGTTTGCCAACTTTAAAGTAAGCTCATATCCTCCTGACAATTGCTTTGTGGTAGGCAATACACCAGGAGTGGTTTCAGAAATTGTAAACGGAAATCAGTTTCGATTCCGAGCTTATAAGAATCCAAATAGCTTTTTTAAAAACCCACTAGATTCGAGGGATATTGGGATATATCAGGTAGATAACTTTGAGGGTGACACAAGTTTACGGGCTTTCAGTGAAATTCGGGCGAAGTGCATTGGCTTAAGTCTTTTGCATAACTCCGTTATAATTTCCATATTGCACACCTCAAAATTGTCGTGACTTAAAGAGTACTACAGTTTACAGTGAGCCACAGTTGACCGATATCAAGGATACAAACCAATAGTATTAACTTATGCCAACTGTGTTTACTATCGTTATTCCATTCTCTTCCATTGTATATATAGACATATCTTCTTTCAATGAAAACAGTATATTATGATAAGTTTCTTTTTATTGTTATATAAGGGAATTGACTTCAAGCTTTATTTTTTCCCAAGTATCCGTAATCCCTCCAACAAATACTTGGGTTTTTTTTTAATGCGAAGTCAATATCCCTATATCTCCTAATGTGGTCTATAGAATCAGTAGTTGTCATGTTTTTAACCAAAACTAAAGAAAAATTGACAGCAGCCGTAATTCATGTAATTTAAACAATACAATTGGTGTTTCCTACATAGCTATTAAAAAATATGTACCTTCAAGTGTTGGTTTATAGGGATTTGATTGATTTCAGGATTTCATCATGAGCTGACATTAGGTAGAGAACCATTGGAAAACCTGGGAGTACTGGACAGCTGTTTCGTTATAGTTTTGGACTCTTCAGCAGTACGCACCCTACGCATCCCGGTGGGTGCTTACCGCTGAAGAGTCCCAAACTATAACGAAACAGCTGTCCAGTACTCCCAGATTTTCCAATGGGGCAAAGTTTAAGAATAGAGTCCCAAGAGATGCGAACGCACAATGACCTTGAGCCGACAAATCAGAAAATAGGAGGAATTTTGCATAAAATTTAACGTATATTTACACAAAAATGCATGAAAAAAACATTAAACGGATTATATTTCTCTGATATGACTTAAAAATACTTTAAAGTTGCGATGAAGAGTAACAGTTGCTAATTTGGACTAGTTTCTGTAGATGTATTCACCAAAGAGACTGAAGGTGTGTTGTTTTGGGAATGGTTCATCTCTCTTCTATTGCTGTGTAGTCCTCTCCTAAACCCTCGGTTTAGTTACTATGGTTCCAGTGAGAGCGTTGGCGACTACATACAAGGGAAATAAGGATAACAAAAGAACTTGAAATAAACGAAAACTCTATTCCTAATCGCTACCCTAACCCTAAACCCTAACCCTAACCACAATACTCACCTTAACCCCTATCCTAACCCTAACGAGATGTTAACACATTGTCCAAACAGTAATAAAAGTGTTATCTGGGTGAAACTTGCTCCTTATTTGATGAATAGGGTTGATATTTCAGCTATGATAATGACAGGAACCGTTAGCCAATGACTAGCATGCGTTCAAGGTCATTTGAGCGTCGAAGGTTTTGGGACCCTATTCTTAAACTTCGCCTCCAATGGTTCTCTACCTAATGTCAGCTCATGATGAAATCCTGAAATCAATCAAATCCCTATAAACCAACACTTGAAGGTACATATTTTTTAATAGCTATGTAGGAAACACCAATTGTATTGTTTAAATTACATGAATTACGGCTGCTGTCATTTTTTCTTTAGTTTTGGTTAAAAACATGACAACTACTGATTCTATAGACCACATTAGGAGATATAGGGATATTGACTTCGCATTAAAAAAAAACCCAAGTATTCGTTGGAGGGATTACGGATACTTGGGAAAAAATAAAGCTTGAAGTCAATTCCCTTATATAACAATAAAAAGAAACTTATAATAATATACTGTTTTCATTGAAAGAAGATATGTCTATATATACAATGGAGGAGAATGGAATAACGATAGTAAACACAGTTGGCATAAGTTAATACTATTGGTTTGTATCCTTGATATCGGTCAACTGTGGCTCACTGTAAACTGTAGTACTCTTTAAGTCACGACAATTTTGAGGTGTGCAATATGGAAATTATAACGGAGTTATGCAAAAGACTTAAGCCAATGCACTTCGCCCGAATTTCACTGAAAGCCCGTAAACTTGTGTCACCCTCAAAGTTATCTACCTGATATATCCCAATATCCCTCGAATCTAGTGGGTTTTTAAAAAAGCTATTTGGATTCTTATAAGCTCGGAATCGAAACTGATTTCCGTTTACAATTTCTGAAACCACTCCTGGTGTATTGCCTACCACAAAGCAATTGTCAGGAGGATATGAGCTTACTTTAAAGTTGGCAAACGTAGCAGTCTGCTTAGACACATTTACAGATACATTAGGTGTTATCTCTGATTTTGCTGAATCAGCTTCGACTAACCATCTTTCTCCTATGCGTTTACCTATCTGAACTGCTGGGTTATTGGGACCTTTGACTAGAGTCTGGAGAAAACGCATGTTCGATTCAAATGGGAAACATGAGAAAGTGTCCAGTGGTCCGTGCTGTTTCACGTCCTCACAAATATGAAGTAATCCATGGATATTGTATACCATGTTTTCCTCCCCAAATAATGACCTAAAGTTCCCAACGAATTTCAATAATAAACCCTTCACGTCATCTAGGTAATAGGAAGAATAAGCCGGGTGACTTAAGATGTAACATGACAAGAATAAATCGAAGAAGTTGTCATAAAAGCAAGGTGGTAATACGTCCTTAAGGTATACCACTCCTAAATATAAAAGAAAAAGCCTACACTCCGTTGCTTTCCAATGGTCAACGTCGTCTAATGTTCGACACTTACGCTGGAATTCAAAAGGAGTCAACTTGTGTGAGCCGAGTAGTCTGCAGTTAACAGTGTTCAATATCGTAGGATGCATGCCATCTGCCCTAGATGTGGCCATGGATTTCCACAGGCCAATCAACTTTCGAACTACACCTAAGTATATGAGATGCATGCTATCTATAGGGAAAACAGTGATCATGTCTACATGCAATCTCTCGAAAGGAGATTTACCCTTATGGTGACATGGCAAAGTTTGGTTGCGAAAAGACATGTCTGTTCTTAAAGCAGCACATGTAGTAGGAAAAACCATGCGATGATTAGCACGACGGCATAAAGCCTCACATTTATCGCATCCTTGTGTTGAATTGTGACCACTTATTTGCTTAACTAGTGCTCTTGCTGGTGTATCACAGATGACGGCCTTAAGTACAATGTCTATGCGATGATTGTTGGGTAATGTGACACCATTGGCACAAATGTTTTCTAATTCGATGATAGTGTCCCTCAAAAAACTGTGTATACTTAAAGGTTTACACGAACCACAGTAGACTCCTACCAAGAATACCTTGTCACAGCCCGACAAAAGTAACTTCCCTTGTATTGGCCACATCTGTAATTTGGAGTTGTTGAAAATTGGGGCACCATCAATGTTCAGCTGAAGAGCAATTGGCACAGAGACTTTACATTTGACAATTTGTAACCGAGATAAAATCTGACGACGAAGACCAATGTGAACATATATTCCAGGACCAACTGCTCTCCTTTCAAAAAAGTCTTTAGTCCTCATCAATGTCCGAGGGTCAGTCGGCAGTTCACGATGATGTG